GAGGTATCACTCACGCAGCGTCATGGCTCCAACTCTTACCTTGACTAATATGATTTATCATATGCGGCCCCTCCATCTTCCTCGCCGTCACCAACTCAACTCCGAAAGGCCTGCCACGAACCCAGCCCTCATCTCGCACCATCCTCCCTTTCCCCTTGTCTACCCTACCAAATCGATCTATTCTGGGATACTCGACAGGCGCCCTGGTCATCTTCCTAGGCCGTGGCGCATGCTCAGGTCCTGGCCACGTACCCGAAGAGCTAGTGTACATTGAAGGCGGGGAAGAGTGGTGCTTGTTGCGAGGAGAGTTTGGAATGTAAGCGAGGGAAGAGGGACCGGGGATGCATGGCGAGACTCGGCATGTTGGACTGCATGTTTGAGGTCGCAGAGTGGTATCGGCGCAAGGATTGGGGAGAGGAATGGGGACCCAGTCGAGGACGCATGGTACCGAGGGTTGGTGATCGTCGGTTGAGGAATGGTAGGTCTGTTGGTAAGGGTTATTGAGGGTAAACTTTATGCTAAGGCCACGATGATACCAGTGATCAAGGTCTGAGTGTTGTCTGCGTGGTCGTCTGTTTCATAAGTATACTTGCTCTCATCGCTGACGAGAAAGGTTGACGCGGCTTTGCTTTCACATTCGCTCGATCTCGGCCTTAGCACATTTAGGATTACAGATCGGAACAAAAAATGTTAAAGACCCTGAAGCTGAACTTCCAGCTGTTTCGCCTTCCGAAACATTCGCTGCGAACGACTTACCTCGCACTGTCCTCCTGCTTCCCCGTTAGAAGCCATGTACTTGTTCTTTTTTCATCCGTAGATTCAGGGTAAAACGTTTAATTCGGGGTAACGCGATGGTCTAGGCTTGAAGGGGGCTCTTGCACTGGTTGTCTTTATTTTTGCAGCTGTCCAGAACACATGGTACTGTGCGCTTTGGCGAGCGAATGAAGTTGGCCATATTTAGGATTTTGGTGTTTTGACATCTAGCTGGACCGTGGGGGTGAGTCGCTACCACTAATTTCTCTTCAGCTCGTGGTTTATGTTGAGCTGTTTCCACGTTGCTGTTCCGACAAGCAACGAGAAAGGACCTGAATCTAGGTACATGGCTCGCAATGCGAAGACTGGTACACGAAAGCTGAACATCGTGTGGTGTTTGATTCGGAGAACATTAGTACACAGGCGAAGGCGATAGTGATGTGGTGAGGCTATTCGGCATAGATGCGAGCGCACATATGAGTGTGACGAAGGCTATGTGGGCGAGCCGTGCAGTGTGCTAGAAGCGAAGGTGGCCTTGAAGTTCTCAACACGCCTACCTCTCTCAACAACAGCAGGCTATCGCATACAGGCGACACGATGGCTGGTGCCATCGCCTAGGCCCGGATCTTAGCTGACCGTTTGCCATTCGTTTTGTAAAGCGGTAACTGATGGTGGCTCAGCATTTTGGTTCGGCAGTACCAGTGCCACAGCGTCTTTCCTCACCCACTCTGATTATTTTTTCATCGGAGAAAATGTATCCGCCAAATGATGGAGGGTACTCGTCATGCCGACTTCGCTTCGTGGAATGAAAAAGGATGTTTCTGTATGCGAGAAGGGTAAACGATAGTGTCAGTTCAGACTCTGCAGTTACGCACGTAGTCAACGAGATCTACAAAGACCCAAGGGATACTAACGCGAATGCAGTCACGTCTGTATTGCGCAAGCGGTGAACACGCGTTGCAGCAGTCTGAATGAGGATGAGCAAAGTGCATGCACTGTCGTGACTGCCCAGATATGATCAACCTCTTAGCGCCATGACGCACATGCACACTCGCCCTTTCTTTCCTTTTCGGTCACTTAGGGTCCACACCAACTCTAGCAGACCCTCCAACACCATTTACCTCAAAGCAAGCCGGTGTCTCTCGAACGAGCTAGCTCTGTAAGCGAACACGTCGATCGGATAACCTTGCGCGAGAGACTATGGATTTGCTTCTTGCACTCTGCGAGGCTTCACGCCAGTTTACTTTTTGGGGTCACCACCACACACCGTAATTTCTCCCTGCAGTAAACTGTCGCTACACCTCCTTTACGAAGCTCGTATCTAAACTTCGACTATGGCTGCACTTCGGCAACGATGGTTGCGGGCCTCATTCGGTAACTGGAGTTTCGAATCAGGAAGAGAATGGCTGAGATGGACTAGGACTATCTGCTATCGTAAGACTATGCCCCATTGAACCTTCTACTGTAGATACGTCGCGGCTGCTTGCATGCTGCCTGTCGCTGTCACATGCATCGTCGTTCCGCTTGTCTCGCTTCCATTTAAGTAGTGCCTTGACCGTCCTCGTGACCAACATCTGCTGGAGCATCCCCTTGAGTAGATGAATCGCCGCCATCGGTGTCCCCGATTATATCCTTCATCTGCTCCATGATGCCTCGTAGATCCCCGAACAGAGTACGCAGATATGCCTTCTGTTCGTCGTGCAGTGATTTAATTGCTGCAGAAGCGCCAACGCGTTCCTTGTGCATTTTCTCGCAAAGACGCATTGTATCGTCATAAAGTTTCTTCCGCTCTTCATAGTACTTGCACAAGGTGTCATATGCTGTCTCCAGTTGTGTGGTAGTCCAGTCAGAGTCGCGCTTGAGTGGTGTGGTCGTCGACATTGTGATATGGGTACCTAGGTAACGGAAGGATGATGACGCGACCTGGCTTGTAGTGCGACCCAATTATATGTGAGAGTTTATTTGCGACCGGGGAACAGCCTATGTACAGCGTGATTGACGAGCTTTACGCAAATACCGAGCCATCTAGACGGCAATCAATTGGTACCATGACTGACTTGACAGTGATGTTCGGGTGCTCAGCAAAACATGAGTAATATGGAGTATGACGATCTGCCTGTATAGTTCGCCTAGCACACCATAGACAGATCCACGCCGAGTATCTTTGTCATGGAGACTACTCAGTTGTCAAGGCATTTGCGTAAATTGGTCAAGCCTAGAGAGAGACACTTCGAGCCAGATCAAGGTCAGGAAAAGCTTAAATCCTGACTGCCTTAGTCTTGTACCCGAAGCTAGAGCTACTAAAAGCGTTGATTCACAAGGCTCTCAAACTCGACGTATAGTTGTTGCTTGTACGTAGGTCTCTTTTAGAGCCTTAATAGCTCGAACTGTACAACGTGGTGCAAGCCATAGGTCGGGCTTTCGCAACGACATCGAGACTGATCGCCGTCAGTCATACGTCTCCGCTGCGCATCCCTGACTGTTCGGCGTATGTGACTGAAAATGATATTTGTGAAGACGAAAACGAGAATTAGCGTAGATGTACAGCGTGGACGAAGGACACCAGCGTTCAAAGCAGCACAACGGATTCATCCTTCACTTATTCCTGCACAGTCGAATACGATGATGAGTCACAGCAGATTGACAGCCGTAGTGATAACGGGCAAAGGCGGAATTGGGACGTCGAAAGCATGGCTAGACGTGTTGACACCCGACAGGAGATGAGATAGAGACGAAGAACACACATGCAGAGATGTACAATCTAACAAAGTTGGATATACGGATCGCACCCTAACGCCACCCAAGCCATTCCATAGTTGGACCCAAACATGCTATTACTACAATGATGCGCGCACTCAGAAGACGCTGATGTAGTTACCAATGCGCTCCTTTTGGTTCTGCGCGATGCACTCGGCTATCCATGTAATGTTCCGGATTTCCTGCGTGTCATGTCAGTCGCTACGTTTTCTTCAGGATGGAATCACAACGTACCTGCTCGCGCAGTTTCACCCATGCGTACACAATGGCGTGAGTGAACTGATGAGTGAATGCAAGCTTCGAGATCTCCATTTCTTTCTGGTAAAAGAGATCCTCGAGACTCCTCGTCTCGCCACCGACACCACCGGCCATGTTGCCGACACCACCGCCACCTCCACTGAGGCCGGTCTGGTCAAAGAACATTTTGTAGTCGGCAACACTCTCAACAGCGATTCGCACACCCTCTACGTCGTCCGCTCTCGAGAGCATTGTGGTTCCCTCCGGGTATAGCTTACCGAAGCCTGGGTAAAGCTTCTTCCTGTCTGCCTTGGACAGCTCGGTACCGAACGAGTTGAGGGAGATGTTGATGCTCCTGCGGTCGGCCTCGAACTCCAAAACCTCCGACATGACATCTGCAGTCGGTGTCCCGGCAATATCTGGGCAGGAATTGATCCACTGATGGAAATCCTCTAGATAGTTCTTGTACAAGGTGTTGCGGATGATCTCGATGTTGAGTTCGTCGAGGTCCTGATGGCTGAGCGAGCCCTTGAAGTAGGGCGCGAGCGGCGTCTCAATCAGGACGGAGTTGTATAGTTCCTCAATGTTGGTCGCCACGCACAGCACCGGCATGGTCTCGAACCAGCCGAGCGGGTGACACCTTTCCAGCAACTCGCGCGTATCTCTCTCGTGCAGGGTACCCGTAATCAGCAGCGCGACATTGTCGATCATGTATCCGTACGTCAGGTATTCCATGAACTTGGAGAGCGAGCCGGTGGCGTTGGCCTGGAGATAGCGGAACTCGGCCACGAGCTTGTCGGTGGTCTTCGCGGCGAGCGCAGACGTGGACGGGTTCGGGGGCAAGTTGTTGAGGAAGTCACCGTACGCGGGCGAGAGCTGCAGCTTGACATCTGTAGCATTGTTAGAGCGGTTCCAGAGGCAGTAGCGACGGGATGCGATGTACCGTCGATGGTTTCGCACTGGGTCAAGTTGCTGTAGTTCTGGCTGGTGAGCAGTGCATTGCGGTAACCGCGCACGATGCCCTCGATGTAACTGTAGAGAGATGTCAGATATGAATGAAGCGACGCCAAACGCGTGTATCATACCCGTATTTGACGTTGTAGTAAAGGCCCTCCATGATGCTGATGCTGGCTGCTGTCGACCGTCGCAGGCAAAGAGCTCCAGCTTGGTCGTCATGCCAAGGCGTGGCCCGTGTCGCGCCTGCCTCGATGGTGCTGGGGTGTTTACGCGCTAGCCCCAATGGCCGGAGGTGCATGTACAACTTTCTTAACTCCATCGCAACTTCCCTTGCCAACGCACCCCGACAACGCAACCATCCCAACACACCTTCGCAGCTGCATCTGCCATCAGATCATTCACTGCTTACTGGCAATTGCATCGCAACTGCCTCGTACGTCCCCACTGCTGTTGCGCACCGCTCCTACTGACCGCGCTCGCAGTACCATGTCAGCTACTACACGGCGCTCAACGCGTCGTACTGCAGCGACAGCGGCCACCGAGTCCTCGCAGCCCGCCTCCAGGCAAAGCTCACAGTCGGCGTCGCCTGCGCCAGAGGCTGCCCCCAAGAAGAAGCCCGGTCGCAAGCCCAAGGCTGCCGCCGCCAAAGTCGAGTCGCAGACCGTGACGGAGTCGCAGCAGACAGTCACCAAGGGTCGCGCTACGTCACGCGCAAACGCCGCTTCCGCCGTCACCACAACAACCACCACATCATCAACAACCAAGACCGCGACGCAAGCGCCTGTTGTCGCCAAGAAGCTCACTAGAGCCGGTCGCCAGGCGCTGAAAGAGGCAGGCGTAGAGGCTTCGCCGCAGCGCAGCCTGGAACAGACGAAGCCCGCCAAGCAAGGACGCGGCACAGCCCGCCAGAAAGTCACCAGTGAGAAACGAAAGGCAGTGGCCGCAAAGCTGGCGGCAGCTAAGGCCATCGAGAGCGCCGAAGACGAGGCAGAAGCCGAGAATGAAGATGGCATGGGCGCCTTCTTCACAAAAAGTAAGCACCATCTTCCCCATAGCTACACCCCTTCAGAGGAAGAAATCGACAACGAGCTCCGCAAGGAGAAGTACGAACACCAAGAGAGGGAGATTGATCATCTCCGCGAGCGTGTCACAAACCAGGAGGCTCGCATCCAGAATCTCGTAGAGATGATGTGGCAGAAAGATCAGCAGATGTTCCTCTACGAGAACGAGAACCTGCGTCTGCGCATGGAAATCACGCGACTAGAGAATATTCCACACATTAGCTACGGTACTCCGGCTAACGTCAGTTACGCAGAATTCGACAGTGAACTAGTAGCAATCAGCGAGTCATCTCCGGCACATGGTGTGTTTGTGAATGGCAACGAGGAAGCCCTTGCGCTCCTCCACAAGATCGAGAGCTCTGCCAAAGAAACCAGGCGCGTTGAGCCCTTAAGCAATGACAGCGAAACATTCTCAGACAATGACGTCGCCATGGAACCTTCACCACAACAGCCGTCCGCTAAGAGAACCTTCGAGGATGTCACAGCAACGCCCAACCGCCCCGTCGCAACACCATCCAACATTTTCAGCAGGTCATTCTCTGCTATCAAATCCCGACTTTTCTCCTCGACCCCCAAGCCCCCGCCAACCCCCGAAGTCGCATCGCCCACCGTTACGAAGCCTCTACCACCCCAGAACACAATCACCGAGACCCTCTCCCTCCCTCCTACACCTGTTGGCGAGCGCGTCAAGACGCCGAACAAGAGGCGTGCGCCCATGAACACACTGCTGAAACTACTGCTCAAGGGCGTCGACCGCAAGGACAGGCACAAGGCAGAGGAGTGGGCCAAGCAGGTCATTCCTGAATTGAAGAACGATACTGCTTTCAGCGAGAAGCGTGCGCGTCTTCAGAAGGACGTTCTGTGCAAGGAGCTGTCGAATTTCCCGTCAGCTAAGCCTTGGGAGACTGGCTTCGGCGACCCGCTTGGTGATCTGGACGATGACGATGTTGTACCAGTCTGGGCTGTCTATCTCGATATCGTGGCTGAAGAAGAAGAGCACACCGCTAAGAAGCACAAGAAGACTCACGAATTCACCACGGGCGACGACGAAGTTCCTACCATCGACGAGCAGTTCGCCGCCAGCAACGGCGCGCGTACTTCACCAAAGCTCTACAACAGCCATGGCCAGTCCGCTTCACTCCGTGACTTCCACCCTCGTCGCTCAATCGACCCATCACCCATGTTCAGCAACTCCATCTCACACAACACCGGCGGTAACATCTTTAGCGAACTACAAGGACACGACACCGCGGCACAGATCCGTGAGAACGATCGTGAGGTTCTGAAAAGCGCAACCAAGGAGAACACCCACTCCCATAATCCAGGCATGGGCTCTTTCAGCGTCCCCGATGATGATTCTGATGAAGAAGACTCTACAATGGGCAGCGAGAGCGCTGACGCTGAAGCTACTCCTATCTGGACCCAACCACCCCCACCAGCCCCCGTTCCTGCGCATGCTCCCCTGCCAGGCGGATCTACGGATGAAGCGTCTGATGTGCCCGAAGCGCCCCCAACCCCTACCCGCCAGCAGCCTGGAGATGAGATTGAGCGCCAGCGCCAGAGACTAATGAAGCACACACCTGCTAAGCCTTCCCGTCTCCGCGAGGCAACCTACCCATCACCAAGCATTCTATCGGAAGCTGGCAACGTGTCACTTCTTGCCGCTACTCCTGCACAAATGGCAACTTCCGCATCGTCCATGTTCGACGACATGCCAGGAGCGGAGATTATCGAACTTGATGACGAATGTCAAGCTGAATTCGAAGATATCATCAACAGCCACGAGTACCAGCAGAAGTTCAATGTCGAATGGCAAGCGCCCACCCTCACCTACGAGTCAGATGAGGAGGAGCCAAGCCCTACCTCCTCATCGTAAAAAAATTGTTTATACTGCATTGTTTCGGCGTTCCTCACCTTCACACGAATCGAAATTGATCAGCCGGAATCAAATTCCTTGCCTGTGGGCATTCTTCTTTATTGTCTTGCTTTTTTTCTCGTGTTTGCATATCTGTGCGTTGGTTCTCGCAAGTATACGACCTCTCGTGGGTTGGAAGATGCATTTCTTGTTGGCGTTCTCCAGGGGCATAAACACGGATGATTGACGAAAGCTGTATACCCCTCGGCCGTTGTATGGTCGAAAACTAGGCGCACGGTTTAGCCTAGTAGTTGCGTTGGTTTCTTGTTCCAATAGTTGCTTGTTTGAATAGCTTTAATATCGACTGAGAAACGTACATTCCTGAATATTAACACCCGTGAAATGATGAAGCCAGGATGATGTGATGGTGTGAGTTGACAACAGGCGGCAGGAAGGAGTCGAAAGTACTTGAGGTATTCGCGATCTAGGATTGACAAAAAAGCTGTCAAAGTCGTTACATTCGTGGTTGCCGTAGTCTGAACTCAGCGGGGAGGTTAGATGTTGCTGCGCTCTGTCTGTGACGATAGTCCGGATTAGGCAACTAACCGTCAGCCGTCGATCGCAGCAGTAGGTGCCTACATTATTACCACGCGCTGTCTGAACTTCGAAGACCCATATATGTTAGGTAAGCAGTCTACCGAGCGCACACCAATCGACCAAAACTCACCTTCCGACGATAAACAAACAATTGTAAAAATCGCGATGTCTTCAGAAAAGAGCCACCGTCGTAAGTAGCAGCAGTTTCACGCCGCTGTGCAGGTAGTAATAGTTTGTGCAGTATACGTCAAAGCCCGCCATGTCAGCTACCAGCGCGGCAAACGCAACACAAACCCCAACGTGAGCCTCCTCGCGCTTGAAGGCGTCGACAGCACGCAAGACGCGCAGTGGTATCTCGGCAAGCGCGTCGCATATGTCTACCGCGTTGCCAGCAGCAAAGAAGAAGGTCCTCGTGTGATCTGGGGCAAGATCCGCAGGACACATGGTTCGTACAGCTTGTCAGACTTGCGAAAGAAAAGATATTGATTCAAGAACAGGCAACTCTGGTGTTGTTCGCGCATCTTTCCAGAACAACCTCCCGCCAAAGTCATTTGGTGCGAGTCTTCGGGTTATGATGTATCCTAGCTCGATTTGAGAGCTGTTGGACATGGGAGAAGGAGATTTGGGAGCATTAGACGGCGTTTAGGCGATTTCGGGAATGGCCAATAGCCAGGATAGGAGTTTGTCTGCAAGACCTCGGGATTATATACCATGGTCATTGTAATGGATACAACATTTTGAGGTTCAATACTGGGCGCGAAACTTCGTACGATATTTCATCGTCGGAGACCACAATAGAGTTGTATTCCCTAGTCGAAGAGCAAAAGTGACGGCAACTGTGGAGCGAGGCTGGGGAATGGTGTCTGTGCTGTGAAGGTTTACGGGTAACACGTCCTCGGCGAGACTTCCTATATTCATCCACGGCTCTTCTGATAAGAACAGCACCACCAAGGCTGGCACCAAACGTTAGACAGTCATCGCGAACCTAACTCATATGGTCTCAAAAGAGACATGAGAAGACGTACGTCTTCGTAGCAAGGCGATGCTGTCATCAAGTGTAAGCTCAAGAAGCCCATTGCAAGCGGTGCTGCCACCGACCGGACTTTCTTTTTCCTCGGTCTATCGCCGACGGCACCCATCCGACAACCGCCCAGCACGCACCTCGCATCGAAAACCACCACCGGCCCTTCAACCAGGCCACACCGACACCGCGGCTTCTGAGATCGGCAAATGCGCCCCTGCACATCTCCAGTAAACGCGGTGCCGTTTGACAGATGGTCGAACCATACGTCACAGCGACATGCAGATCGTGCAGCACGTGCCGACGCCGCGCATGATGATCCCTCCAGACTACCCCGCAAAAGCGCCGCTTGCTACCCCAGAAGCCAAGATGCTTTCTACCCGCCTCCACACAAGAGGCTCGATTGCGCTGACGGGAGGCAAGGCATGCATGTAAGTGGGTAACGCTGCCGAAGAAGGTATGCCGTTGAGATGGATGATGTCGGGCTTTGCATTCTACCGAGATGCTTTAAAGGGTAGGGGTTGCCCATGGGGAAGCATTCGTGCATTGCCCTGCCAGCCTCCTCACCCGCCTTTGCATTGAAGCAGACGCGGTGCAATATTCACACGATGGCGACAACGTTCGATCACGGCAAGCTCTCTACTGAGCACCAGCGGGCTGAGAATGTGGCGGAGAAGATCTCGAACTCCTCCGGAACTGGCGAGCTTGAAGCGCAAAATGTCGAACTGGAGGAGAAGGAGGCAGCGCGCGTTTTGAGGAAAGTTGACATGAGACTTGTCCCTATGCTTTCGCTCCTCTATCTTGTTGCGTTTATCGATCGGAGTAACAGTACGTTTGGACATATTCATTTCTGAGAGATGCATTGGAACGAATTGCTAACGTGCTGTAGTCGGTAACGCGAAGATTGCTGGTATGACGGATGACCTCAAGATGAACGGTATTCAGTACAACACTGCCGTTACTCTATTCTTCGTTCCGTACACAATTCTCGAAGTACCCAGCAACATCGTGCTCAAGATGATGCGACCAAGTCATTGGATGGCGATCCTCATGTTCTGCTGGGGTCTCGTCATGACATTGATGGGACTCACGTCCAGTTATGGTGGTCTGCTCGCTGGAAGATTCTTCTTGGGTGTAACAGAGGTAGGTCCCCAGCATCTTGGTTCAAGATGGAGAACACTTGCTTACATTCGCAGTCTGGCTTCTTTCCAGCAGCAACATTCTTGCTTACTCTCTGGTACCGTCGTTTCGAACTTCAGCGCCGCATGGCTGTCTTCTACGTAGCCGCCTCCCTCGCTGGTGCTTTCAGTGGTCTCCTCGCCTACGGTATCGAACAACTTGATGGACGCTCTGGACTCGCAGGATGGCAATGGATCTTTCTCATAGAGGGATTGATTCCAGTAGCGCTCGCGCTCATCATCTGGAAGATTCTCCCCGATAGTCCAGAGACCGCGAAGTTTCTGACACAACCGGAGCGCGACTTGCTTGTTTCCCGATTGGCCAACGACTCCGGGTCTGGCCAGGGACAAGCCACCAACAGCGACAAGATCGGAAAAGAACAGATTCTTGCTGGTCTTTCCGACTGGAAGATCTGGGCTGCTACGGTCATTTTCTGGGGAAACACTGTTGGTGTTTATGGGTAAGCTGAAGATATCCAGCTTTGCTGCGGTTTCATCTCTAACAGTTTCATACAGATTCACCGCGACCGTGCCCTCTGTTATTCAAGGACTCGGATATACCAGTGCCAACGCTCAGCTCCTCACGATCCCCATCTACGTATTCGCCGCTATTCTTACCCTCATCTTTGCGTGGGCCTCCGATCTGACGCGCAAGCGCTCCCCATACATCATTGCAGGCTACTCGATCGCTGTGTGCGGCTTCATCGCTCAGCTTGCTATCCCCAAGCCCAAATACCCTGGCATCACCTACGGTTTCCTCTTCCCCGTTGCCGGTGGTCTCTACTGCCCCTTCACATGTCTCGTCTCCTGGATCGGCAACTCTCTCGCCCCATCGTCAAAACGCGCTGTTGGCATGGCTCTGCTTATCTCCGTTGGAAACATGGGTGGAATCATGGGCAGCAACGTGTATCTGGCACGCGAAGCACCAAAGTACACGACAGGTTTCTCGGCTAGTTTGGCCATGTGCTGCACCGCGATCCTCATGACTTTGGTATTGAGGTGGGCGTATGCAAAGGAGAACCGTAAGAGGGATGAGCTGATTGCTGAGCACGGAGAGGAGGCTATTCGCGCGAGATACTCCGAGCAGGAGTTGTTGCTCATGGGTGACAAGAGTCCTTTCTACAGGTACACTTTGTAGTCCCTTCCATGGGAAAATAGTCTAGTGTATCGATATATTTTACATGTAACAACCAAGGAAAGCAACGTTTGTCTGATATGAGGAAGAGACCGTGAAAGTTGCTGAACCTCACATGAAGTCAGCTGTCAACAAGTGCGCAGTGGCCAAGACATACTTCTAACATGCATCGATACTAACCTAGGCAGAGGTAATAAGGGACTGATGAGTGAGCTGTTAGCGTCGTCTCACTGAAAGCACAAGCCTCATCACCCATCACAATCATTCGGAAGCATATCAGCCTGTTGATTGAATGGACTTTGTAAGTGAGCGACAGATTCTACAATCCTGTTCAACACAAGACAATAAACTCGAGTCTCCCCCGTATCACTTAAACAGCCATGAGACGGAACTCCGTGTTCTCAGAGCCGTCAGAAAATTGCCAACCAATCATGTCGGTGCCGCTGGTCTTGCCACCACCAGCGACATTGAGCTGCGTCTTCCCATCGACATTGTTGATACTAACACATGCACACGCGCGTCAGAAAGCGAACTCAAGGCCAAGTGGGGCTGTACGGAGCCACTTACCGGTAAGAACCGTTTCCGCAGTGCACGATCTTCCAGCGGATGGTGCTGTCGAGCGGCTTGCGAAGCTCCGTCTTGATGTAACCAGCTTTTGGCCCTAGATTGGTTAGCCATGTGAGGAGAACATACATGTCAGTCTGGTTTCGAATTACCGGCCGAAGTCAGATAGAGGCCAGAGCAGGCGGCGATGATGTGGTATTCACGATCGCCTTTTTCGGGCTTGGCATCCGTGCCTCCTGCTGCTACGATCTCAAAATGAGTGTTGTCGGCGCTTTTGGTTCTCTGGCTGGATGAAGTTAGTCAACATGCTCTCTCTGACTGCTCGAGTAACTTACTATAGCTTCACTTGCGTGCCGGCTGTCGTTGCTGCGCCCCAGACGTTCAAGCTCATCTCCGGAGCATATCTGGGCAGGATTTCGTACAATCCGGGGCCGGTGTAGTCGGACATTGTGATATGTTTGAGAAATGATGAATGGTCGAGAAGAGTGTTAGTCTGATTGTGATGAGGAAGGTGCGATGCTGATGG